ACTGATGGAGGCTACTGAAAGTGCCGTACTCGTCGCCAAATTTTGGGCCGACTCAATTTGAATTGTCATCGACACGCTAAGAAGAAGAATAGTAGAAATTTATGTTTGCATTTTAATGGTGAAAACTTTGAAAATATAATAGAATGTTATGTTGATTCAAATTGGGCTAGTGATTCGCTAGATAGAAAGTCTACAACTGGTATAGTAATTAGAGTTAATGGTAATCCTGTGTATTGGAAAACAATAAAACAAAAGACTGTATCTCGTTCATCTACTCATGCAGAGTATTACGCTTTAGCAGATGCTGCTGAAGAAGTTTTATATATAAAAGGAATTTTGTCTGATTTGAGAGTTAATGAAGAGTATCTTTGTAACGTAAAAATTTTTGAAGATAATAGTGGAGCACTTGCTTCAGCCAAGAATGGTAATTTTAAAAAACGATTAAAACATATCGATGTGGCACTTCATTTTGTACATGATTTGGTTGTAGTTGTTGATGGTAAAATTGATATTGTTAAAATTGAAAGTAATAATAATATTGCTGATATGTTAACCAAGGCTCTTGGCCAAATTAAAGAACAATGGCAGAAACATATTTACCTAAAACTTAAGCGTTTAAAAAATCGAGTCACAGTAAACTTAATCAATTTTTTTTCTATGATTTATCATTACACCACCATGTGTTGTATAAGTCTTATAAGAGATAAGATATTTTTGAAGATTTTATTTGACCTAAGTACGTAATGTCAGATTCGCCATCACGTATAACTGACTAGGGATGCGTGGTGGCAATATTATATTATGGAACAATTTATCGATAATCGATTCTTATAGCTTTGGCTGAAATATTTACCGAAGGCTCACTATTATGATTATGAATTTGCTTCTGCCCACATCTTCACTCGTACGGTAGAGTGACTGAATCAACATAATTAGAAATGATTTAAAATATTTTTGACTCTCTTTAAACGATTTTAAACACACTAAAGAAATAGAATATAGTTACGTTATTTTCCACTACACAGTGTGATGAGAAAAATACATTGTCTTTGATAACGGCACATAAATAGACATACATCGATATTTTCAAAATGTCGATACGTCGTCGTTTAGTACATATCTCTTAATCTGTGGTTTAGATCCTGTCAAGTGCCGGACTTACCACGTTTGTTATTTTATTTTTGTTTAATTTAGTGTTAAACTCGAATAGCTGTTATACTTTTATTTTATTTTTTTCATATACTGGAATAATAATGAAAATAATATTTTCGGCTATCTGACACACAACGCCATCTAGTTTCAAACAAAACATTAACAATATGTTAGTACTTAACCTCGAAACATTCAAAATCCAATATCTTTTTTCCTAGACTTCTTTCGCAAGTAATTTTGATATGAGAATGGTCAAGAATAAATTCTCAAGTGTTAAGGATTTTTTGATATTTAAACGCTAACATTTCAGTTCAAATAAAATTATGTATGGGGACCTGCCATTGTCCTTTAAGGAGTTCCGTTTAAAGTTGTAGATGTATATGTATATTAGATTTTTGTTAGTCGCAAGAGAGGGTGTTAAGAAATGCGACAAAAAAAAGTTATATTAATTATCTATGGTAACACTGTTGTTAATCTGTGGTAGTAAAAAATCTATGATCGTGAAGTGTGAAGAAAAATGGATGATGTAAAAATGTTATTGTGAAATAAAAATAAAGTATTAGTAATTGAAAGCGTGTTTTGTAATGCAAAAATCAAGATGCTTCCAGCAAATTTAAGACAAACGTTAAATAAAGAATATTTTTTAAGCATTATGCGGCATTTAAGAGAGCAAATTCGACGAAAAAGGCCAGATTTGTGAAAAGAAAATTCTTGGATTTTGCACCACGATAATCCGCCACTTCCGAACAGTTTGTGTATTGGTCTTTTCCCGATACTTTCATGACAGAGTAGTATATTTTCGTTACCAACAGATTGTTGACTTGAAATAAGTGAATTAAAATAAAGGCCGCCGATTCTGTAGTACTCTACGTAAATGGAATTTGACCGATTTTACCGCGGCTTTCCACAGCCCACCGAAATGAGGAGAGTATGGAGGAATATTTTTGAATTCAATACCTAAAGTTGACAAATCTGACTGTAAATATTGCGAATAGTCGGTAATAAATGTTTTTAATTCGTTACTAGCTCCGACGAAGGTGGAACCGTTGTCGGAGTAGATGATCTGTGGTTTTCCACGTCGAGCAATAAACCTACTTAGCGCTGCTAAAAAGGCTTCTTTCGTGAGGTCTGTGACGAGCTCGAGGTGGAGGGCTTTGACTGCAAAACATACAAACACACATATATACGATTTTTGTACCTTGCATCCTCTACCTTTACGGTCGACAATCAGCACTGGACCGGCATAATCAATTCCTATGTTTAAAAATGGGAATTCAAGATGAGTCCTATCAGTGGGTAAATCTCCCATAATAGGTTGTATCGATTTTGATTTTAATCTAAAGCATCGTATGCACTCATGTAGTACCCGCTTAGCTAGATTCCTTCCGCCCAAAATCCAATTAAGTTTGTCGAATATGAGATAAAAGTAATTGTGGACTATGAGATAAAAGTAATTGTGGACCAGCATGAAATAAGACTCAGTGTTCTTTTTGGAAGATGATGTGTGAAAGATGATGTTTGCTATTGAGTAGAATGGGATGCTTGACGTTGTAAGTATAAAATGAATTATTTAAACGACCTCCTACACGCAATAAGTCGTTGCTGTCTATAAAAGGTGAAAGTGAAATCAGTCTGCTCCTCTTTGATAACGATTCTCCCGACTTTATGATATTGTATTCTTCAGGAAACATTTCTTTCTGGGCTGTACGTAGTACAATAATTTCTGCGAGTTGTACTTCAGATAAGGACAGGCTGTTTTCACTTTTAGCCCTTGGGTTTCTGCAGTTGTGTATGAATCTGCAAACATAAGATACAACTCTAATTAATTTATCGTAATTAGATTTTTTATGAATTTATTTTGAAATTGAATTATCTGTTTTGCTGTTTGCGTTGTTTTCTGTGTGTATTTTTGTATTAATATTTATATCTGTGTGTAAGGTTATTTCTGGTAGAATATCTGGCTTTGTGTTTGGTGTTTTAGGAAATTGTATGTTTGTATAGTGTAAGAAAGTGGGACCAGACCACCACAGGGATGACTCGCTGATGTGATCAGCCTTCACCCCGCGGGAAACTAGATCGGCAGGATTCTCCTTCGAAGGTACGTAGCTCCACTGACAACCTGAGGTGTTATCTTGTATTTCACCTACTCTATTCCTGACAAAAGTTTTTAGACGACTAGGAGATGTTTTTAGCCATCCAAGCACAATCGTAGAATCAGTCCAATAATAACACTTTTGAAAAGTGTGGGTGAGAGATTGTTGTACTTTAGTGCAGAGTCGTGTACCCAGTAATGCACCACATAATTCCAGGCGTGGTATGGTGGCAGGTTTCAAAGGCGCTACCTTATTTTTTGACGTTAAAAGATGAACATGAACAGTACCTTCGTCACTCACCGTCCTCACGAAAACACAGGCTCCGTAAGCGCGTTCAGAAGCATCTGTGAACGTATGAAGTTCGTAGGTATTTGCTTTATCACCGCATACCCACCGTTGGATACGAAGTGAATTTAAGTGAGAAAGAGACTGAACGAAGTTAAGAAATTTTGATTTTATTTCAGAAGAAACTTCATCATCCCAGCCACACTTGTCTAGCCAAAGATATTGCATAATAATTTTCGCTTCGACAGTGCACGGACCCAAAAGACCTAGTGGATCAAACACCTGTGAAATCAAGGATAAAATTACACGTTTTGTGATTTTATTTTTATTTGAAGTTAAATTGATTGAAAATAATAATCGATCTGTTACTGAATCCCAACATAATCCTAAAGTTTTACTTGTTTGATTTTCGTGTAGAGATAAAGCCTTTTCTGTTTGCTCATTACTTGTACCCAACTTGAGTTCCTGCAAGATTTCTGTGCTATTAGACTGCCATTTACGGAGATTAAATTTTGCAGTTTTCAGCGTCGCTACCACATCTTTACATAAAGCCATAGTTGATTCAACAGAATCTCCCCCACTCAAAAAATCATCTACATATAGATCTCTAGCTATTGCTGTTTTTGTTTTTATATTTGCGCACTGTTGAGATAGTGAACTAAGACACTTTGTAGCTAAATACGGTGCCGACGCTGTGCCGTAAGTAACCGTGTTGAGTTTGAAACGTTTAAGAGGCTCTGTCGAGTCAAATCTGAATATAATTTACTGTAACGAGCGATAAGAAGGCTCGACTAAAATGGCCCTATACATTTTTTCTATATCGAATGATACAACAAACTTATGCTGTCTGAAGCGCAATAAAATTGAAAGTAAATCGTCTTGGACGACTGGACCAACCATTTGTATGTCATTGTATGACTTTCCAGTAGTTGTTTTTGCCGAGGCGTCGAATACGACACGAATCGGTGTGGTTGTACTATGCTCACGAATCACACCGTGATGTGGCAGGTAATAATTATGTTTAGAGTCTGACTTTTGTGTATTGCGCCCTTCCGTCCGGAGTACTGTGCGCAGTCAGACGCGTATCTCGTCGACTCAAGCAACATTCAATAAAATAAAATTCAAAATGAAGTGATATTATTATAAAAAGGACCTTATTCAGATCGAGAGTAAACATAAAATCTCAACTATAGCATACTGGCGGCGCGTGAGTAATAACCACAACATTATAATATCTTCAACCTTTTTATACCTGCCACACACGGCTTTGCGAGCGAGCGACAGATATACAGGGGTCAACTTAATATTGTCGGAAAGCGAATCTGTATGAAACCCTCGCGACCGGCCAGAGTACATAGACCTCCGGTCTAGTTCATCGATTTGTGTGTTGATTATATTTGTTATTATTTTATATATATAGTATCGTAACACTGTACTGCGACGAGGCGCTAAATAGTGTTCTAATACAATATGCCTGTTGATCGTTCCCCGCCCGCGCCGGTGTCTCGACAAATGGAGGCGCTTACGATGCAACGCCAACGTAGCGGTTCGGAACCCAGTTTATGCGACAAACAGGTAGAATTGGAAACGCTTAACGTGAATGTTCGCTCAAAACGTAAGGGTTTAGGTGACGATCGTAAAGACGAATTGTCCTTATTTATGGATGAAATGAAACAGTTGTTCCGGGACTTCAAAGCTGAACAAGAAAGTAAATTCGAAAAAATGATTTCTACTATGGTCGAGATACAGAATCAGAATAAAGAAATATGCTCCTCAGCCGAATATCTTTCAAAAGCATACGATTCCCTGCTAGAACAAATAAAGAAACTAGAAGCAGCCCGCCAAGCTAATCTTGAACACATTCAAACCCTGGAACAGAAACTGGAGATAGCAGAGCGTTACACTAGATCTACTTGCATTGAAATACGAAACATGCCTGCTCCAAAACAAGAATCGAAAGCACAATTGCTTGAAACAATCATATCGACAGCTAAAATTCTGAATGTGCCTTTACAGCCATACGCAGTCAGAGATGCTTTTCACATCCAAAGCAAAAACCCAGAACAAAGACCGATTATAGGCGATTTTACTAGTGTCATCATGAAAGAAAAGTTTATTTACATGTATAAAGTGTTTAAAAAGTCCTCACAATTAACAACAGAAACGCTCAATATGGCTGGACCGAGTAAGCCTTTATTTATCTCTGAAAACCTAACTGCAAAAATGAAACGATTGTTCTTCATTACTCGAAACTTTGCCAAAGCACATAATTATAAATTTTGCTGGGTATCACACGGTAAAATATATCTACGTAAAGCCGAAGGTACTAGCCTCCATTTAATTAAAAATGAAAATGACCTGTCAAACTTAAACATTCCTAAATGACTAATTAGATTGAGTCTGTTGCGTTTTTCATGTTTTAAAATATTAATTGTAAATGCATGCCAATGTTTGTTTCTCCTTTGTTCGAGTTGTTTGGCGCCAATATGTATGTTGCTCAGTACATGTTTAATTCTAATGCAAGCTATAATGGATTGTTGCAAGTTATGTATTTTTATGATATACTGTCACAACTGTTTACTTTTTTATGTTTTGCTGTATTCACTATACACCATACACTACACAAATATACGTACATTTAAGAATACTACACTTACAAAAAACCTCACGTGTGTGCGACTTCATTGTACCCGTAATTACCTTTATATAAGTCTTAATTATAAAGCATATAATTACCTTTGCTTTTGGCACTTGTTAAATCAGTTATTACTCCCCTTTTTTTACTTCAGTAAATTTAGATGGATAACGTAAATTTTTTTAACGATATCGAGAAACTGGCAATTACGCAATCAATGGTGTGCTCACCGGAGCAATGTAATGTCTACATTAATAATACCTCGAATTTCCTGAAAATAATTCATTTAAATATTAGAAGTCTAAACTGCAATTTTGACCAATTACAAGTTTTGTTATGTAGGTTGCAAGTTCCCATGGACATAATTTTACTATCTGAACGTTGGTTAAGCAAGTGTTCCAATATACCACCTTTACCGGGTTACATATCTTACGCATCTGATTACAATCACCAAAACGATGGGGTTGTAGCCTACATACGACAAGACTTATCTTGTTCTGTGGAAATACCAGGTTTCGCCGAATCAAACAGTTTGATAATTAAACATAAAAATTTGTTTGCGCTAATAGCTATCTACAGATCTCCCTCTTATAGAAATGCAGAGGCATTCATAAAATCCCTTGACGACTCATTAAATACATTAAATAATTTTCAAAGCATTGCCATTATTGGAGATATAAATATTAATATTGCCTCTGATAGTGTCGATGCCAACTGCGACCTTTATTTAAACACAGTTATGTCTCACGGTCTACTGCCTGCTCATGTTATGCCAACCCGAAACAAGAGTTGTCTTGATCATATGATTATAAAATCCAAATCAAATGCTACTACCTTAATTCTTGATACTTGTATCACAGACCATTTACCGGTTATTGTGAACAGTAATCTTAAAATTAAAACAGGACAAATTAAACACATAACTAGACGAATCGAGGAGGCCGCTTGCGTTGCGGAGCTCAGCGAAACCGACTTTAGTACTATTCTATCCTGTAATAGTGCAGAACAAGCTGCGACATTACTCGTTGAGACCATCGCTGGGGTGATCAATAGACACACGCGCACAGTTCGCTCGCACCGCTTACCCAGATCGCACGTTTATACTCGCAGTTACGCGAACATTATTAATAATACATAAGTACTAATAAAGGTGTATTAAAAATAAAACATAATGGTACAGTGCAAGAAGTGTAAATTGTTCTTGTCGATCAATAAAGACGATGTGATAAGGTGCAAAGGTGAATGCAATTCAGTTTTCCATAGAAAGTGTGTAAAAAATATGAAGCAGTTTTTACAAAAGGAATGCTGCGAAGAATGTTCAAAGAGTGCTTTAGCTGTTTTGTCACCGAAAATAACGGAACAAGAGGAAGACTACCGTGAGCACACCGCTAGACCCCTTGAATGTCCGACCGCTATGGAAGATCTGTTGAGAGAAGTTAACAAAAAGTTGGAAATAGTGCATAAGATGGATAAAGATTTAGAAGATATAAAGAATTCAGTGAGCTTTTATGCTGAGAAGTATCAGGAAATGGTTGAATTTAAACAACAAGCAGAGAAAAAAATGAAAAGCATGGAGCAACAACAGGTTTATCTAGAAAAGTATAATAAAGCGTTAGAAGAGAGGGTGATTGTACTTGAACAGAAAGAAAAAGAGAGAAATATTGAGATAGTGGGGCTGGAGAAGCAAGAAAAAGAAGATATAAAAGATGTGGTAAATACACTTGCAAAGAAACTATCGCTGGATCCAAACGAGATTGAAGAAGTTAAGAGGGTAGGTCTGGAAAAAGGCGCGGACAATCAGCATCGTACTCAGCCTGTGATAATAAAGCTACGAAGCACATCAGTGAGAGAACAATGGCTTAAGATGCGAAAGCGACAAATAACTAACGATTTTGTATACGCGAATAAGAATATCAATAAGATATATATAAACGAAGACCTCTCTAAGTACTTCAGACAATTATTCTGGATAGCTAAAAAAGAGCTCAAAGAATCCTATAAATTTATATGGATACAGAACTCGAGAATTTTGGTTAAAGCTAATGAAAGTACAAAAAAAATACACAGTATTAAATGTGAGAATGATGTGCGACGGTTATTATCAAGCTCCAACAAGTAAATGTAAGCCCGTAGCACACTAAGTGATTCCTTAACGCATAAAATTCGATCGTTTTCAAGTAGATGATAAAGACTATGTGTATATGAGGTATGAGTCTATGACAGATTGGAGCGAATATATTACTAGTAAAGACAGTAAGGAGATAGACGTTGTACATATAAACATAAGATCATTAAAGAAACAGTTCAACCAATTATTGGTACTATTAAAAACATGTAAGCAAAAATTAGATGTTATAATATTAACAGAAATAAATGTGAAAAAGGAAGAAATTGCATTATTCAAAATAGATGGATATAGTGCACATGAATATACAAGACAAAATAAAAGGGGTGGGGGAATCTTGATTTATATAAGAAATGATCTTAATTACCTAAAACAAAAAACATATAACCCGGAATTGGAAATAATATATGACAAAATTATGTTACATAAGAGTACATTGCACTTGATTGCATTATATAGACCCCCAAGTAAAAATAAAATAGAATTCATTAAATACTTGGACTGGCTGCTGCAGGGTATACCAGAACAAGAAGAGGTTATCGTCATTGGCGATATGAATATCGATTTAATGAATAAGAAACAGAATGTTATATCGAGCAATTATAAAACCACCTTGTGTGGTCACGGCCTGCAGATGACCATACCAACTACGACGATAACGAGAGAAGCTATAGTCGACGGGCAGATACAGACGTCATGCATCGACCACGTGTGGGCGAGACTTAGCGACGGCGAATCGGGAGCGATCAGATGTGTGTCTACACACACATTTGAATGCACCTTATCGGACCACCATATGACCGGTATTAGACTTATGTGTGAGCCGTACGTATTGCAATCTAGTAAACGAATTTCAAAGCGGACCGTGTTAAATAATAAGTTAGTTATTGATAAGCTTACGAATGTTGTGTGGCAAGACGTCTTGCAGATGAACTGTCCTATTTTAATGTATAATGAACTGTGCCGTGTTTTTCGCAGTATTTATTCGGAATGTACGCTTTCAGAAACACGACAAAATGAAAGAATACCGCAACCGTGGGTAAGTAAACAAATAATGTTGCATATAGATAAGAAAAATGAGTTATTTAGAGCATGGAAAGAAGAGCCGTCTAATATGAATCGAAGGTTAGAGTATATGAAATTTCGAAATAAAGTAAACAAAATGATAGATGCTGCGAAAAACAGGTACAGTAAATTAAGTAAATGTAAGGGGCACTATAAAAAAATATGGGCTAATATAAATCTGTGGACGGGTAAAAATATGTCAACAATAGATGGTACAATAAATAAATACTTAGGTAAAACAGATAACATGTATAACATATGCACTAAATTTTCTAACACGTTTACTCAAGAAATAGAGAAAATTAAACATAATTGTTCTGATAAGTTTTTAGACAGAAGTAGCTATGTTAGTAGAAGTTTAAGTTCCTTCCGATTTAAAAAAATTACCTCAGAAGATGTTGAAAAAATTATTAGAAAATTAAGTTGTGACAAGGCACCGGGAAAGGATCAAATAAGGGTAGTGGATTTGAAATGTATAATCAAACAAATGAGTAGAATTCTTGCAAAAATTATTAATATGTGTGTAACACATGGTATATATCCTGATGAACTGAAACAAGCGTTGATTAGACCTATCTATAAACAAGGATGCCATCTCGACTATACTAACTATAGACCTGTAGCTATTTTATCAGTGATAAATAAAATTGTATAAAAAAGTGTAGTAACACAAATCAGCGATTATTTAGAGGGAAACAATGTTTTAGACGACTGCCAGCACGGATTTAGAAGAGGACGGAGCACTGGTACCGTTCTAATACAGTTTACAGATTTTATCAATGGAAAGCTTAATGATAAAAATCAAATTCTAACTCTGTTTATAAACTTTAAAAAAGCATTTGATACACTGGATCATAATCAGCTATTACAAGCCATGGATGAGTGCGGTATCAGTGGTCCGACAAATAAATTCTTCGCTGATTACTTGCGAAACACGCTCTGTACAGTTGTCGACGGAACAACAGGCGCAGATGCGGCCATCACAATGGGTGTGCCCACCGGCTCAGTATATGCTCCTATTGGTTATATAATGCATGTCAATAGCATGGTCAATGTCGTGGAACATTGCGGGGTGTACATGTATGCTGATGACACTTGTATGATAATCTCAGGTAAAAATTTACAACACATGATGGTGCAATTGCAAAATGACTTTGATAGAATAACAAAATGGGCTCATGATAATGGGATTATACTTAACACCAATAAAACTAAAATCATGCATATATGTTCACCTTACAATAGAGTCACGAGAGGAGGGGCTAATATACGTATCATAGGACACACATATGACTGTTTACATAAAAACCAGAGCTGTCAGTGTAAGGAATTGGAGTTAGTTACCACCATTAAGTACTTGGGGTTGATAATAGATAATAGATTTAGCTGGAGACCACACATAGAATTGGTATGTAATAGATTAAGATCAGTTCTAAGTAAGTTTTACATCCTCAAAAGAATATTAGACAGACGTACTTTGTTTATGGTGTACTATGCACTAGCGGATTCAATTATTAGTTATGGGCTAAGCTGTTACGGACTAACATTTAAAACGTATATAGAGGAAATTAAAAAGATACAGTTAAGATTTTTAAAAATAATAGTAGATAAAAGAATTAGGAAAAAGCACAAAGATGACTATAATAAGTTATTTTCCGAATGTGCCATCATACCAGTCAATGAAAAAGTTAAATATTTAATAGCATTAGAATCATATCATAGTGAAGAGTATAAGATAAAGAAAAAATATCATTACAGTGTCAGAGTAATAAAGAAGGGAAAATTAGAGCAGTTAAAAGTAAATAATTATTATGGGGAAAGGACCAGGAAGTATGTAGTACCAAAGTTATGTAATAAATATCAAATACTAAGGGAGGACAAGAAAATAAAATGTAAGTTTAAACTAAAACTAAGACTAAAAGAAATGTTTGGATATGGCAATAGATTAAAACGCGTACATAAATAGGGAAGCAGGTGCCCAGGAAATAGTCAGGGTACACATATTTATGTATTGTTTGTCTTGAAATTATTTTGTTTGTTGAGTTAGTACACCGTTGTAGGAGGAATTTATAAACTAGCATTTAAGTACTTAGGTTATTATAAATTGAGCGGAACGCCTACAAACTGTTAGAACAGTTTGGCGAATCGAGAAAATGTAAACAAATGTAAATCTTAGTGTGATTAAAGTTTTTGAAAAAAAAAAAAGTTGTCATTCCTAGTACAAAGAAAATATTAAAGCCTTGGATCACCCCCGGCCTACTGCGCTGTATACGGCACCGGGACAAACTCTTCCTTAAAACTAAAAAAGACCCGGAAAATAATGTTGCTAAAGTAACCTATAATCGATACAAGAACTTCTGTAATAACACCCTGAAAAGGGTAAAAAGGGAATATGAACGGGAAGAATTTAAGCGTCTCAGTAAAAATCCTAGGGGCACATGGGAACTCATAAAGAAGTTAGGGAATATAGGTAAAGAAAAAATGACAACTAACGAGCTTATAGGTACATGTAGCGATCCCCAATCCTCTCTAAATTCAATTAACGAATATTTTGCCAGTGTGGGAAAAAACCTTGCATCTAACATTTTTTCTTCAACAGATGTAGTCAACATTCATCCTGTCATCAGCCAATCCTCACCATTAAACTCAATGTCTCTCTTTGTCACTGACGATGCAGAAATTGATAGACTTATTATAGGCCTTAAAAGCACATCCGCCACTGGATGGGATGGTATACTTTCCTCTATAGTAAGGGGTGCGAGACACATACTTGTGCCTATTATTGTACATGTGATTAACCTCTGCATAACACAGGGTCTGTTTCCTGATGTTTTTAAGATTGGATTGGTGCATCCTATATACAAGGGCGGTGACAGGGGCAGTGTCTACAACTATAGACCTATCTCGGTTCTATCCACTTTTTCTAAAATTCTGGAGAAGGTACTTAACATTAGGCCTATAAAGTATTTAGGTGGTAACAACATACTGGCTCAAAATCAATTTGGTTTTCGTAGTGGAAAATCAACTGAAGATGCGGTTTTAGCTTTAACAGACTCCATTGTTCAAAATCTTAATAAAAAACTAAAATCTATTGCTATATTTCTGGATCTCTCCAAAGCTTTCGACACTGTCTCTGTTCCCATCTTACTCAGGAAGCTGGAATGCATGGGTATTAGAGATATGGCCCACGACATCTTTAAAAGTTATTTCGAAAATCGGTTTCAGTGTGTTAGGATTGGTGATCTGGTTACTGGGAGACAAAGGTTGCAGTTTGGTGTTCCTCAGGGAAGTGTGCTAGGGCCAACACTTTTTCTTATTTATATAAATGATCTTTGCAAAATGGCCCTACCACACTGTAAGATCATAACTTACGCCGATGACACGGTTTTACTTGTAAATGGTACAGACTGGGCGCACGCTAAATTAAATGCGTTATCTGCTGTAACCCATTGGCTTGCTCGTAACCTCTTAACGCTCAACGTTGAAAAGACTAAATTTATGACCTTTAAATCAAGCATAACAACCTTGCCCGATACATCTTTTAATTTAATCTCTCATTCAAATACGTGTAATAACGCGTTCTCCAACTGTAACTGTTTCCAGATTACCGAGGTACCCACTATTAAGTACCTGGGGGTTTGGATTGATGATTGTCTATCCTGGAAGGAGCACATTAAGGTGACCTCTGCCAGAGTTAGAAAATGTATGTATATCTTTAAAAATCTACGGTCGCTTCTTGATCTTCAGATACTCAAAATAGTTTTTTTCGCTCTTGTACAATCCATAACAGGTTATTGTATAACCGCTTGGGGTTGTGCTGGTAAAGTTAAATTTCTGAGTCTAGAAAGAGCCCATAGGGGTGTCTTAAAAGTGATGACTTTTAAGCCGATATGGTTTCCTACCTATCAGTTATACGGTGACTTACAAATTCTTACAGTCAGAAAGTCATTCTTGCTAAATGTTATTTTGAGGCAACATACTAACGTTCCCTTTGATGACAATTCAAACAAACGTAGAATTGATAGGGTGTGTTCAACAGAAAAATGTAGATTAAAACTGGCGAAACGGCATTTCTATTATTTCGCACCTGCACACGCAATGGCTGTTTGGCCTAACATACAATGAGACCGAATCATTTCTCATGTCATCGTGGTAAATGATAAAAATAATAATAAAATATCAACTACATATATAAGCCTGTCACACACACGTACGCACACACAAACACTCACAAACACACACATGCACACCCACACCTCCCCTCCACACATACAGCCCCCACCTCCCCTCCACACACACAGCCCCCCCCCCCCCCCCCCACACACTTACAGACAAAAACAAGAAATCTTGTTCTTATGTAATTGGCTTACAGTCTACCGCTTCACTGCATGATGAAGCAGTATATAGTATTTTGTATGTATATTACTTAAATCACAACTATATCATTTAGCTATTGCTGGGACTAATGTCGATGTCTCCAGGATGTGGGCGTTAGTGACTGCGCCACAGTTTTGAACTACTGCAGTCACTATCGAATTTATTTTTTTGTAAATTCGTTTGTTATCAGTTCCAAAATAAAGATTTTTTTTTTTTTTTATTTTTTTTTTCAGTCATATGACCTAACTTCAGATACTCTGCCATAAAATTTAAATAACCTTGTTTAAAATCTGGGTCACGTTCGAATCTG